CAATCATATTGAATTTGACTAGAGATCGTGTTTTAATACCTGCAAAACTTTGCGGGCTCTGACCTTAATACACCATCGTATATTTACCACCCGATGAGTTGATACAAGTTATATCGTCATCACTGAATTGCAACGAAATACGTTTTGGTAGTCATGTTTCAAATGATTTATCATTGCTCGCATCTTCCAAAGTTAATAAAATTGATTTACTAAACCTTGTAAAATAAGTTAACATATTCTCAATTATATATATTTCATCAATTGGTAATGATGATAAAGCCTTTTGCTGTATTTCAACCTCCTGTACAATCAAATTATTGATTTTATTTAAGTCTACTTTTGAAAGGGACATGATGAAAATATGTATGAAAATATAAACAATTTCCAACAGAAAAATACACTCACTCTATTACGAACTGAATAACACTCTACCAATTGCTAACTGCTGCAGAGATATATTCGTCTACTCATTTCATAATGTGCCAGGCATTTCTTTTATGTTAAACAGCGCGAGTCACCCCCACCATGAAACCGTGAAAGGTTCACATTGCTAGTTGCAAGCCACTAGAAAGGCCTGACGTCACAGCCAAGCCCACCTCCCAGCTGGATGCGATAACAGATGTCGATATGAACAGGCAGTGGTCGTTCAATCGACCGCTATGTTGAACGAGATTTCGGGTCCAAAGACCGGATGATCGATTTTAACTGCTACAAATCGCACGTCAGAAGATAAGACCTTCGAAATCTTATGCTCGAACATGTTTTTTCCAAAAGATAGGCGTGAGCAGTTGGACATTTTTCAGTGGTTCCTTTGCATTGTGAACAATCCCAACATCAACAAGACAACTTTCTCACCAGATGCTACCATGATAACAATTTATCGGATATGATAAATGGATCTTCTGAAAATATCTGAGTAGGCAAATATACAGGGTAACATTTGGTTCCTACTCGGCTCAGTAATGTGAGAAATATTTCATTTCAAATGAAATTGATTTACTGGAGAGTGCAATATACATGAGCATCACTCAATAAACTTCCGAATATTTCTTGAATGAACCTCATATATGACAAATATATCCGTTCAACAAATCTTATAACAATTCCAAAACATTATTCAAAATTAGGTGATTGCTTATTTCCTCATCACGAAAATAATATAAAAGGAATTATTTTCAGTAAACACTAAAACATATCAGAACTACTATCATCTGTATGAATATAATGTTTTTAATATTTTGGTTTGGTCGAACACTCTTGTCAATCATCTGATTCCAGTTCAGTTGAAGACTAGTCATGTGAAAATCTGTCGATTCGTAAGAATTACAGACCTATAACATGTTTGAATTCATGTTGTGAGTTGCCCACAAGCATCTTATACACACGAATACTCACCGCAGTTGGCCGAGAGTTTCAACGGATATATGAGCAGAAAGGGTCGAAAAGACAAGTCGCTAGATGTGAAGAGAACCTGCTCATCGATGGATGTGTAACGCAGGACTCGATACAATATAAGTGTTACCTCTCTTTGGCTTGGATCGATTACCGCAAGGCATTTGATACAATATCGCATGACCTTATCTTGCATTTGCTCAGATGCTTTGCGGTACCCGACAAAATAGTGAGATGCATTGAACATCTGATATCACTTTGGCGAACTCGCTTCACCATAACATCTGCCCAAGTGAGAGTCTAAGCAGGGTGGGTCACTTTCAGAAAGGGTGTATTTCAGGGCGATTACCTCAGTCCCCATCTCTTCTGCATCTCACCATTGCCATTATCCGTTGCGCTCAGAAATACTCGAGGGTATATGGATGAGTTAAAATTTTATGCCTCTAGAGAAAAGGATCTCTATTAGTCCTGTGACGTTTTCCTCCAATATTCGCAGATATGCAGTTTTATCAGCAAATGAACTCGCTTCATGAATTCACCTCCAACTCTGACCATCGGCCATTTTTGCAGGACTAGCCTTGGGCAGATAGCATGAATGAGTATAATGGTGCCATCTTTGATAGATAGGAGTACTCCTTCAGGATTTAAAGAAATCTTAAATGATGGGACACAATGCAGCATAAATCTATGAAGACTGTATGAAATATATAAAAATAGTTGAATATCCAAAATATCCTAAGGAAACAATTATGAAGAAACAGTAGCTGAATACTTGATTTGAATTCCACCACAGCTGACCTGGTTGCGTTAATCTATTCATATATTCAATTCAATCATTTCACATTCATTTGATCACGATTAAGTGAAATATACTTTCAATCATTATCACTTTTCAGTACTTTTCCTTTAATTTTGTTTCAAATTGACAGTTGTTTTTATCAAACGTTTGTTTGAGTACGCCAAAAATCACAGAAGGATCTGATATCTTCATTGTCTTGAAACATTTCTTTCAAATTTGGAATGTATATATAGTAATAAGCAAACATATATTAATCCTTATGCTTTTGGTGTAGCCATCCTGTATATTTTCATATTTTCAAATACATAATGAAAAATATTTTTTTCAATCGATCAGTCAATCTTTATGGATTTTAATGATTTGTCATCTAATTAAATAGTTGTGAAAATCATGTTAGTTAAGAGTTGGTTTTCGAAAAATAAGTTTTTTAAAAGTTTATTTTATTCAAAAACACGTGTTACAATAAGGAGGTATCAAGTCAGACTGAATATAAAAATGCAATCTCGTGGCTGAAGGTCACCTCAAATGATTGGAATTTGGCAAAGCAATCCAGGGTTGATCGTCTTGCATGGTCTCTGCGAATAGTGGTGTAGTCCAGTATTCAATGTCAGATACGGAGCTGGAGGGATGATTGTGGTTAAGTCACTAGTAGGGATTGAATATAAATGGAAATGTGTAAATTTTTCTGGGTGGAGAAGGGGAAAGTGCAGAACAAACACGATTATTGCATTGGAATAATAAGCATCGATATTGATCAAATCGTAATATTTCCTGAAGTCTTCTGGTTTAGTATAGAATAGTTGGCTAGTTGTATGGTGTCGAGCCATCGCCTGAATTATCGTATTCATTTCGGTTGGTTGTATGATGTTATTATACAAGGTATTGGTTTTTGCAAACACAATTGCATTTTCCAGGTCAGTCAGCAGTTGTAAGATTATTTGCAATGACAAATTTAGTTGGTCCAAAACATTCCTGATCTCCATAAAGTGATTGAAATCGAATGTTATTGTATCGATTTCTTTATTAATTCTATCAATTTTCTTGGAGATTATATTGTCGTTATGCCTGATAAATGACACAGTTTTGTTGAAATTCTCTATGAGTGAGGTGGTGAGAGATATGTGCTGGTTCAATCTTTGTAGAATATTATATCTACTCTTCTGTAGTGATGCTATTGCTTGGTCATACCGCTGAGCATCTTCTTGATCTAAATTTCCGGATATTGATTTTATGATGCTGCCAAGTCCGTTGATTAGACCTCTTTTGGTTCTGTGGGATGGGTTGATGCTGTGAAATTTTTGATATACAATTTTCAGTTGATATTTCAGTGCTTGATTGAAATTGATGAGTCCTTCTAGGTAGGGGTAACTCGGGCCGTTTGTGAGGGTTTCAGTGATGTCATCGAATTGCTTTTGTATTAGATCGATTTCCTCGGCAATCGGCGTCAAGTTATAGTAGTGCAGGAAGTCGTGAATGCTAGTCTGGATCCTGGCTTCTCCCAGCTTTAGGGGAAGAATTCCCGGGTTGTCTTTGAGATCTTGAATTCGNTTGTTGTATAACGAAGCATTTTCTTCAAGTTCTTTGTTGAAATTTTCTATGTATTCTTTCAAACTGAAGGCTTCTTTTTTTGTCTGACGCTGCAGAATCAACACCTGCTAATATGCGTTCTTCAAAGATGACACAAAAACTTTTTTATTCTCTTTGTTTCAATTTCAGCTTATGTATATAATTATTTTCCTATAAATATCGTCCTGCTAGGCGAAATAGGTTACTTGTTACAGTTGTGACTAAGCTGTAACAGTTGTAACTAATTGTAATCTTGTAATTGTGCAACTCAAGGGAACACAGTACTGTTTCAAAACTTATATTTCCAAAGTGAGATATAACATGCCTGTATAAGAAACGATACAGATGGTATAGGAACTGCTATTCATTGTAGAAAATCCTTTTTTTTTTCGTTATATGTAAAATTTTTGTAGATTTTTCAATTATGAATCACTTGAGTTTATATTTATTTATTGATTTTTTTAATTGTTTTCAATTCTACTGGGAGTAGGTTGTACAATTTTGGACCATAATAGAACACAATTATTTGTTTATGGTTCTTCTTGTAGATTGATATTTTAATAATTAAATTCTCGATTGCTCTTGTTCTTACCGTTGTATGAGGTAAATAGTTGCTAAATTTCGTGAACATTCATAGTAGACACAAGTAACTATACAGAGTGTTTCAAATTCGATCCTCACCATTGGGATCTCAGAAACTATGAGAGATACGAAGATGGTTAAATTGGGGCAAGTATATCCGGAGATATCCGGATATACTGGCTTTATTTTTCGAAGGATACGAAAATAAATTGCACTTCCACATTGCCACTTTTTTCCTGCTACACAATGGTGTTTTCAGATTTGCTATCTGACGTTTCGTCTTCCGGCCACCACCATCAACTTTATTTTTTGTTATGGGCGCTACATTGAATTCTTTCTGTTTTGGATAGAACCTTTTCATCATTCTTTTTCCGTGTTAGGAATCACACGTTAAAAGGTGAGACCTCGTTAATCCATAGCTAGCACAAGTTTCGACTTCTGAGGGTTGTCGTTCGTAGGGGTGCGACAGCTGGCTAACTGAGAAAAACAGATTTTTTTTTTCGAAAAATTGGAGATGTTGAAAAAATTAATTCTTATCATGATAGGCTTGGAGTTTGACGTTTCTAAATTTGACTTTCAATTTGTTACACTCTATGACATTTTGTTATTGTACAAGTCATTGAATTTTTGTCGAATAATGGCTTCATGTTTTGTTTGAAAATTTCATTTCAGAAAATCAACAAATTCACTTTTTGACAATTTACGAGTTTTTTCCTCAAACCAAATAGAAGTTCGAAATGAAATAAGTCATACAATTAAGTCCATAATCTTTTACCTGATGTCATACATGTTTTCAGGTAACAAGGATGGAAATAACAAAAAAGGGTTCGTAATGGAAAGGCTGGGGCAGTATCTTGTCGACGCCCCCTTGACATTAACCCCAAATATGGAAGGAAACGACTGGACCACTTTCCTGAATGAGAATGAATGTGTCGGAAACCATCCAAGTATTTTCAAATATTATGCCAACACATCGCTTATACAACAGTTCAAGGATTTGGCCGTGAAAATCACTAATATCTTTGACTCGCCAAAGGGAATTTTACCCAATCAGTTCAGACATGTACATACTTTCGACTGTTTCAATTTCAAACAGAACATGTTGCGCATCACTTCAGTTAACGTCAACAAAGAAATGGTTTTGTTTGGTATTTTAGAACCGTTCTGTCACCTCCACCTTCTGCAGATACATGTAACAGAAGAGAGGTGCTTGGCGAGATGTGGAAAATTTTATTTCACCGATCTTACTGAGGAATCTGATCAAATGTATCAAATATTGGATGTATCTTTTTATTCAATAAATATTCTATCTCTCCTGATTCAAGATATTCATGGGTATAAGACGGCCACCATTTTGCAGTTACCGTTACCGCCAGCCCTTGAAAAATTAACTGAAATCGACATCAACGTTGCTCTAAACAGAGCCGTTTTATCAAACACCAACGGATCTACGTTTGTTCCCAAGCTCTTTAAGAATGTCGATATGGCAGCTTCATCGTTTGCAGTTTCTGGGAACAGAAGGGTTGGCATTGTGCTTTCTGAAAATAAAAGAAAGGTGAAGCTTTTTGAGATGGAAGCAGAAGATGAAGACGAAGAAGATGCAGACATGACGAGCAGTGTGTTAAAGGAAGATGTTAGCATGCAAGACAGCCATATCATCGATTGAAGGTAGTAAAGTTTGTGTTACATTTTCTTTATTGGTTCATATTAAACAATGCACCTTTGAATAGTTTGAAATTGCTTTGGACATTTCAAGTATTTATATGTTTCTTAATAATAATAAATATAAAACAAGTGGACAGTCTGATCTCATTGACATAAAACATGAAGTTCCTCGGGGGTGTGTTTTAGAACCAATGTTGTTTTAATAATCGTAGGTCGAATTGAATAATTTGCCGATGATACCACTATTACATGGAGTAATAAAACTTATCAGCTATCAAATATGATAAAAATAGATATTCAAAAAATTTAAGCCTGGTGTAACGTGAACTCATGTGCTTCAACCTAAACAAAACAAATCTAGTTACTTTCAGATGTATACTAGACGATTTAGATTTGGATAACCACTACAAAGAAAAGAAACAGTACACTAAATTCCCAGGCATTCACATAGACAATAAATTCAATTTTGAAGAACATGTATCCCATTTGAGTAAAAAAGTATTTAGTGGATGTTATGCTAGCAGAGTGATATCAACTGAACTAGGATCACTACAGCTAGAATGGCTTACTTAGCATTGATCGAATCTCATATTCACTATGGAATGTCTTTCTGGGGCCATTGTAATTAACAGTACAGAATATGATATTTGTGCTTCAAAAGAGGTCTTTGAGATACCTTACAAAGTTTAAGCGGAGAGATCACTGCAAGCCTTTATTCATCAGCTACAAAATAATAACTGTCACCTGTTTATACATAATGGAAACAGAATGCTTGATTCATAAAAATTAAACTAGCATGTACACTCCCGGAACAAATTGTCACAACACCAGACAGAACCATATGCTTCACTTACCTATTCCAAAATTCGCCTTGATTAAGCGTTCTCAGATTTATGAAAGTATTGAAGTATATAATCACCTTCCTACCATTCTAAAAAATAGCACAGGTATCAAAAAGTTACGAAGTACAGTTGAAAATCAAAAAAGCTTATTTTTTGATCCATGAATTCTACAGTGATAACCTGTAAATTCTACTTGATTTTTCAATGTTCACCTAAACTCATCTGTCTTCTTAATGTTTTATTCATGAAATTGTGTTGTTTGTATTTTTTATATTTTATATAAAATGCATTTTATTTTGTCAATATTTTGGAGCCAAAGCTTTCTGAATCTGATTAAATTGATGTTGAAAAACTATTTATAACATTCATATTTCTGTCTGACCAGGAATTTGCAGTCAAAATGTTTCATCACATTTTTTTATACATCCTTGAACGGAGAAACAAGTTTTATCTGCCTTCCACCCACATATATTATTGTTACTCGTTGGTAATATCAAGATGATGATGAAGTCAAATTTTCAAAATTTCATTAAGCACCTTCTGTTTTCAAACAATTTTTTTCTCAAAACTCATCCGATCCCCATATGCATATATTTAATCGTAAAAAAACAATTTTGCCAGGTATTTGTTATAAATTATGATGACTATGTTCATATCAGAAAACATGACTGACATCTTTGTTACAGTTTTTAGATTCGATGTATTCAAAAAGTTCATGAATAACCTGAACCTTGACAATATCCTGATTTTTTAATATTGTGCTTGACCTGAAGGTTCCATTGAAAGTTCCTTTTTACTATCAAACTAAATTTTTCATAGGCTTACCTTCAAAAATTTCATAGGTTTGATTATACCATAAGGGATGTTAATTTCAAAATTCCATCCATTCATTTTCACTTGTTGTCGACATGAAAGATAGCCTTTCATCAATTCAGATGCATTACCCTTTATCCCATGAATTTCAAGATGGACAAATCGACGAAGACACAGGTGCTGGAATTTTTTTGTCTAGCGCAATGTTCATTTTGGATGTTAATTTCAAAATTGCATTCTCACTCGATCTTTGCTCCCTGGATCACAGAGTTACTACAGAAGAATATGATAAATATTCATCAAAGAAACTATGCAGTCTAGTAAAGAAACAATATTGTTGGAATAGATAAAACTTTCTATTGTCCGCAATGTGCATTGCCACCAGATGTTAAGAACATCTAAATGGAAAGATATGTTCTTGTCAACAAAAAAAGGGTTGCTGTAGACAATATAAATCTGTGAGGAACGGGAGTGTTGATGGTAAAGGGAACTAAGAGATAACTATCGGTGATCACAGGAATGATGGTTAAGAATGTTAGAAAGCAATGGACAAAAACAAACTTACAAGTCATAATATGAAAGTTTGATGATTAACTCCTCAAGCTGGACAAAGCTGAAGGCCTTGGATATATCAAGCAGCACAGCTTGTACTATTGCATTATTTCAAAGGCGGGTGACATATGGAAAAGCAGCCATTGATCTTTGCTTGAGGAAACCATAATGATGGTCCCACAAAATGATGGAATATTCCAAATATTTGAGAATATGGTTAGAGTGATTTCGATATCACCAATACCAAAGCAACTAGTCCGTAGTTATTAGGAGGATTTTTTTTACTTCTTTATCTAGGTGAAACTTAAGCAACCAAAAGAAAAATTTTTTTTCTAAGAACTAAAAACACTTTTGCAAGTACACTTTCCTATTTTTGAGTATGATGACAGTCACTTCATCAGAACCAGAAGCTTATTTGATACCTAACAGTTTCAAATTTCATTTACTTATATGCCGTGATTGACCATCTGCTCATGTTATTCATGGAATTAAGAATTGGTGAAATTTTAACAAGTTTGGGTAGTTTGTGTTATAATTATTCACTTATTTTGAAGTTGTAAAATGTCAGATTTGAATCCAAAACAAGCCCATTCACTAGAAATGCAATACATAATATAAATATGCAATTAATATCTTGTAACTGGAACAATAACTCAGTTAATGTTGATAATATTTTACATGAATTAATTGATAATGTGTCAACAATTGTTAATGTAATTGTCCCTGAGAAAACAATATATCTCAAAAGTAATTATGTACCCTACTTTGATGATGAACTTAAAGAAAAAAGACGTGAGCGTAATAATGCATATTACAATTTTAGGCATTGCGAGGGTGGTCTAAAAGAAGAACTTTGGAATGTCTATAAGATCATTAGAAATCAATATGTTGTTTTACTAAAGGAAAAAGAGAGATTATATTTTGAACAAACTATAGACAAAAATAAAAATAATAGTATGGAAATGTGGAAGTGTCTTAAAAAACTTGTTAAGCCAAAACAAGATGTTGTTAGCCGTATTCAGTTTGAGATTAATAATCANTAATTTTTTTTTATTTTTTAATGTGAACTAACCTAATAACCTAATAATCTATAGATATGTATGTATATTTGGTTTTCCTTGAAAGGTACTTTAAAATGTTACTATATTTAAATAGTTAAGGTCGTGAGATATTTTTGAATTTGTAATTTTTCTTTTTTTTGTATATTAGGCTTGCCTACTTAATAAATAAATACAAAAAATACAAAATACTCTTGTCAATGTGCGTTTAACCAATCAAGTTGGCGTCTTCAGAATGAAATTTTCTGCATCTCCTAAAGACGCCAACTTTATTGGTGGAATGTGAATCGAGAAGAGTATTGCATTCAATATTCACCTTCTACCAAGTACTATTATCTGTGTGAGTTTAACTGAGCTCTCTGTTCGGCAGTGTTTTTGATGAGGAAATTTTCTCCTAAATAAGCCGTTCTTTTCTGTGAATTGAGTGTGGTAAATCATACAGCTTCATTTTCTTAGTGCGAACCAGAAGATCCAGTGGTTAGATCTGTAGAACTATATAAAGATTTCCAACTGAGCATTATTCATTTTTAACCCATGGTAAAAACTTTGTCTTGATTCATATCAGATTTGTTTTTTGTCCTCCTCATATCTTCTACTGATAGTGAAACTGAACAGTGGCGGGTGCAATTTGAGTGGGCCTGTTTCATATGAAAAATATACCTCCTAAAACCATCAGTAATGGCTGGAAAAGATATCTCTAATCAATCAAGGCTTTTGAACACTGCGAGACATCTAAAGCAGAATAGCAATCTGATAGCTCATTTATCATCACTGTTCAAAATCTGTTTTTCCGTTAACCAGCTGTCGCACCCCTACCAACGACAACCTTCAGAAGGCGAAACTTGTGCGAGCTAAGGATTAACGAGGTCTTACCTTTAAACGTGTGATTTCTAACATTCCAGAAGTAATTAAATTTATAAAGGACAAGCTCAAAATATCCGTTTCCTTCTCTGATATCAATCGTTGTTTTGTAAACAAAAATATTGACCCCTTTTTATCATTCCACAGTGCATTGTCTGATGTGTTCAATAAGTCGTTTCCAGAACAAATAATTAAAAATAAATGTAAAAAGCCACGGGTGACAAAAGGACTGAAAACATCCTCTAGAAACCTGCGCTCACTGCATTATATCTGAAAATTCACGAATGAAACATTTTTCTGGAACTATTTCAATAATTACAAAAAAGTATATCGATCCACTATCAGTCTAGCTAAGAGAATATATTACGGCAACAGAATGGGGGAATCGAAGAATAAAATTAAGGAAACTTGGTCAATTCTTAGAGATATAAGAGGTAAAACAATAAAGAAAAACTCTGAACTCTCACTTAATCCTAATATAATAAATGAGTTCTACTGTTCTATTCCTGAACAGTTGAGTAACACAATTAATGCTTCATATGATCCATTGATCAACTTAGAAAATATAAAAATTCATGATAGTCTTATTTTATATGACACTGACCTTAATTTCCTTCTTCCCTGAAGACTTCCGTTGTCATTCCACTACATAAAGATGGTGATTTAGATGATCCCTCCGATCTGCGTCCTATTTCCTTAATACCGACTTTAGCAAAAATCATTGAGAAATTAGTCAAAGTACGTTTAGATGAATTCTTAAGACTGCACTGTATTATAAGCTAAAACCAGTTTGGGTTTCAGGAGGAAAAATATACAAATGATGCTATCTTCTCTTTTTTATATGAAATTTACTCTGAATTGAATGCTGGTGAAGTAGCCGCCGCAATTTTTTGCGATATTTCAAAGGCGTTTGATTGCGTTAATCATAAAATTTCATTAAAAAAACTTAATAAATATGGATGTAGAGGTGTAACNAGTATTTTACGGTGTCTGCCATTTTAATATATTATTTATTGAGCTATTTTAAGCTATTATTGAAAAAGTCTGACATTTTTTCCGGTTGTAACTATCCAGTTTACAGCAAAATATTAGTAAATGTAAAAAAGTTATAAATATAACAATTAAACGAACACATCTACTACTCTAAATGTGCATAATAAGAAAACTTTTTTCCTTATTATGGCTGTAACATTATGTATAAGGCTGTAACAAATATGATATAATTATGAAGATGTAAAAAAATATTAAACAATAATTAAATATATCCATTTACTTACATCAGAATATATTTATTTTTGAAAATAATTTATAATGATAAAATAATGATGAAATATTTTATAAAAAATAATGATCATCTTCAGAATCGTCTCCAACAAGTGACAAGTCATCTTCATCCTCCATAAAAATGTTTAAGTAGGCTTTATTTATTTTTATCGTTGTATTAAGCAATAAAATCTGATAAATAGTAAGCTTATATTAATTAAAATGAATGTTACTCTGGCATTACCTTCAGGATTCAGAATCAACTCGCTGACAAAGCAAGGAAGTTGGTCTCCTTTGAACTACTTAAATATGTAACGGTTTTCCATATTCCAGGGTGCTCAGTGATGTGGGCCCTGTCGCATGAGCATTTTTCAAAATGCTAGATATATAATGCGCCCTTAAAACTTGTTGGTACAGTTCAGATTTACGTGGAGGGATCAAGCTTGCATCAAAGCTCCGGACTTTTTTATTAAAGTTTTCGTTCATATTATTTTTCAGTAACGTCAAAGATTTTTTTGCCCCGATTAAAAAACGCAGGATTGAAATAACAACCAATGAAAGCGTGGAATTAAGCTTTTAGCTAGAAGTGGACCAAGTTGTGTATATATTTTACTAACATTAATGAACCTTTCGTTGTTACTAGTCCTGGTTAGCATCCAAATGTAAGAGGAAAGATTTTTCAAGTTAACCATATTGCCCAGCATAATTATTAAAATATCAGTAACTGAACCTCTAATAACAACATTAGACTGATCAACAATGCTACAAGCATGTCTGCTGTCTGCTTCTTCATGAAATTTACAACACAAATCTTCGAACGATACTTGACTATGCCGTTATTGGATCTATTTGAATAACAATTTTTGAAACTCAAATGGATCAGTTCATTTCCAAAAAATGGTGCAACATCATCTATTCCCCAATGTATAGTGAAAAAATCAATAAGAGCTTCCTTGAATTTAGTATTTCGCATTTCTTTCGTAAAGTGTTAGGAATCACACGTTAAAAGGTAAGACCTCGTTAGTCCTTAGCTCGCACAAGTTTCTCAACTTCTGAGAGTTGTCGTTCGTATGGGGGCGACAGCTGATTGACGGAAAAACATATTTTAAACAGATTTCGTAAAGTCATTTGGTATGATTTGGTCTGGTCCAGAAATCGAGAATTCAATTAGTGGTGCTTCATGTCGAAGATTCTGCTCGCTGTCTTTAATGGAAGGGTACCAATATTGATCAGAGATAACATCTATTCTGGATGCTGAAAAATTTATTAATCATTTGCAAAAATTTCTTTGATATATTACCAAAAGTCCTGGGTACTTCTTTCATAGCATGTAGAATAAAGAAACCGTCAATGAAATATACATCAGCTTGACTTGGTGGATCATGGTCGATTTTTGTCTCAAGACTACTACTCTTACTGGTAATGTTTAGCTGTAAAGTGGATAGTTACAACCGGAAAAACCTTGAAAATCAGCAGCCATAGTTATTTTTAATTTTTTCTAGAGGTATATTATGACATATTAAAACGTCAGATGTAACAACGTACTGAACCGATTTGAAAGATTCATATTCGACGAATTGTTTTCTGTTAACTAGATATGATTCAATTAGAGTAAGCAGTTGGTTGGAGAGTCCCAATTTTGTCAATTTGTTGAAAAGAACATAACGGTCTATTTGATCGAAGGCTTTTTGAAAGTCTAAATAAACAACATCGACTTGTTTTTGCTTGTTCAGGTGCGAACAGAGATATTGATTTAAACATTTAAAGATTTGTCATACATGATCTTTGTTGTACGAAACCATCCTGAGTAGGAGAAATAACTTGTTGAATATAGAAGTACATAACATTTTGCACACATATCTCGAATAGTTTAGAAAAGTTACATAAAATTGAAATTGCCCTGTAGTTTGTGATATCATGTTTACAGAAGTGTATAAACTTCTGAAGTACTTGGTGAATCCATTGACAATATCCCCAGGATTAAGTGGTAGAACAAACCTGCAGTGTTCCACACTGCAGTTTTGAACTTCGCTTTTTGGTTGTTATAGCCTATTTCACCCAATAAAGACCATTAATATTATTATTATTTCTGGTGATTGAGAAAAGTGCATGTTGCGGATTTATTCTACTTCTACGCCAGTTTCACCTTTTATGTCAGATATAAAGTTCATGCATTACGTCTGTCATTTATGTTGAAGGGTATTTTCCAGTCATTTTAATACAACAAGCTATACGGAAAGTACCACATATTTTAATGTAGGAGCATAGAGATTTTCTGATAATATCAATACAATGAAATTTATCTAACTCAAATCTGTTGAACTATAATAGTTTGCCTTCAAATTATGGTTTAGGTCTCAATTTCATAAGTGACTCCAGATTTATCTTCTTAGAACTAGGATTTCATAATTGGGATACGCTATTTCTCTTCCATCGAAAGGAATATAACAAACACCATGACTCGGATGTACCTGAAATGAATGAAATACTTAATTTTGCTTCTAGATTAAATGAAATTAGTAATAATTACTTTTCCAATTGTTTGAGATCCTGAATGGTAAACTCTGCCAATATAAAGAGGTTCCCCTTGGGCTGTCATACCACCTTCTACAGCGTCAGGAGGTACATATCCTCCTTGGCCAGGCAACCAATGAAAATGTTGTTCGCATAAGACCTATAGAATGAACATACTTTCATTAAAAAATGTCCAAAGGTTCAGATAATACAAAAGAGCTGTTCAATATATCCAACAAAAATAACAAATCGAATAGACAAATCAAACGTTTTCAAAACTTTGGTTGTTGGTTTTGCTATTCACGTCTTTTCTCAAATGCAATGTCACATTCAAATCCAGATGATGGATAGTGTAATCTAATGATAATTGCAACTGGAGTTTTAATATTTAGTCAATATGTTTGGGTTATTTCTTAACATATTGGTTCAATAACAAAATTGTGAATACTGTTAACATTTTATGTTTAACAGAAAGAGGTCTACAGGAATTTCGAATTCTTGCTTCGTACATGTATTTTCCTGCACGTTTTTGTAGTACAAAAATAGAGTATATGAGATTCATATTACACACCCCCCAGAATGGGATTCCCCATATCAAGTGGGATTCTACTAAGTAATACTACACAACCTTGGCGGAAGAAAGACCAAGTTCATTCGATGTTACTCTTACTGCATAACATCCAGAGGACAATTTTTTATTTAAATTTGAAACATGTTCATCGAATGTCAGTCTGCAATATACATGAACACCTAGAAATCTTGTATGTTTAGCGCTTCCTAAACATCCTCACCCAAGGCAAGCTCATCTAATTCACCTTTGAAAGACATAATATTAGTTTTTGCCATATTCATGGATAAGTGGCTTGAGTTGCACCATCTTTCACCTCATACATATCATCCCTGATAATCTCAAGAAGTGTTTCAGGATTTTTATTATTCCAAAGTTTACTCGTATCGTTCCCAAACAGCGTTATTTTTTCTGAAATATTTATTCTAGCCAAGTCATAGGTATGGATTTCTCCCCACCGCCTTATTTCGATTCAGAAGAAATATTCCAAACATCTCAAAAATATAAACTACATTACTCAGCATGCAATTTCATGCAACTACAAAAACTGCAAACTTAAATTGAATATCATTCTTGGATGTTGGTTGAAAAATTCTGAGAACAGTACCGATCTCAGACTAACACATGTTTGTGTGTCATGTTCTGTACTGACTCGCTTATTGAGGGAATAAGTGAAAGAAGGAACGCCAAACCATGGAATATTTAGAGTCTGCGTGGTCGGATGATCATACTCAATAGAGGGTAATTCACGTAAACGGTCGTTTTCAATCCCTACATTCGCCTTCATCGACTCGAATTCATACTCATCCATCTTATGGACTCAAAAATGTTCGCGCGCTCGATTTTTTCAGTCAAAAATTAATCTAATGAAATACTTTTTTCGCTATTTTTTACAAGTTCCGATGTTACCTTTCATTAATTGATTGATTGATAATATGTTTATTGTTTAAGAATAGCATTTTTGTTACAAACACAATGTCATAAATAAATATTAATATGAACATGAAGTATAAGATGTGAAGTATAAATGTATACAATGTAAATGATTAAAATAACATATAAACTATATGTACATACATATGCAATGGTTGCATAGCAAGAACTAAGACAACAAATAAAAATATATTTTTCCCACACAATACAATCGAAATTTCCGAACATTCTAAACCACAGGGCATCGTCAACATATTCTTGTAGGTCATAATAGGCTTTGCCACTTAATAGTTTTGTACATTTCTTTCTAAATATGATAAAAGGAGTCTCTTTGATTTTATTGGGAAGTTTATTGTATATCCTGATTCCAGTATATATCAACGAGTATTGACCCAAACATGTTTTTAGAATTGGTAGATTCAGTTCATTTGACCGCCTTGTGTGGTATGTGGCTGTAGCTGTATATTCATAGTTCATCCTTATTTTATGTACCGACTACATAAGTTGTTTACTGCAAACACCCCAAAAGGTTATACCATACCTTAGATGAGAGTCTATTAAGGCATAGTACACTACTTTAGCTGCAGCAAACCCCAGTTCCTGTGAGATGTTTCTCAGTGCGAAACATCCTGATGCCAATTTGTTGTTGATGTGTGCAATATCCTGATAAATTCCCAAAAATTTCGTAGTGGAGTTATTTTTTATTGTGTTATTGTCTAGGGGGATATCAGGTATATTATACTTGAATGCTAGTATATTTGTTTTGTTGGTATTCAAAGATAAAAGATTCGAGTCAAACCAATTCTTCACTTTTTTCATGTCTTGGCGCATTTGTTATGCAATCTGTTTTTGTCCTTGTCATGCCAAAATAATGTGGTGTCGTCAGCAAATAAGGTAAACCTTCCTTTAATCGATATGTTGGTTAAATCATTAATATATGACAGAAACAGTATAGGATCTAATACAGAGCCTTGAGGTACTCCACAATCTATCTCTCCAACGTCCGAGTTAGATGACGTTCTTACAAATTGTTTTCTATCAGAAAGGTATGAACTAATCTAAATATGACTGTTGTCCCTAAAACCACATCTTGTTAGTTTCCGAAGCAATATGCTGTGATTGACACAGTCAAAAGCTTTGGATAAGTCACAAAGTCACTCTTAAAATTTTGAAAGCCATACTGATGTACACTAAATATCTCATTACTTGTCTAGCAGTGTCGAGAGAAAGTATTGTAGTTCTGTTGTGTGGGATAATTGTTTCATTAGACTACATATATGATTGTATCAAAACAGTATTTTTTCTTTACATATTTTTACCTGGAATCTATCTTTGGCATGCTCCAATCCATTATATGCGATATATGCTACATTTTTTCCAGGAATAACTTTTGCCGGTATCCAGTCTCCTTCGTGGAATGCTCTGCCAACATAAATAACATGTCCATCTACATCAACTCCACCTCGTAGAGCAGTGGATGGTACACCACCATATGCACTGGTATCTACCCAGTCATAAGCTGTTAAGAATAAGTCAGGTTATATTCAACAGTTGAATATAATAAAGAACATGTAAAATGTATTTGTTATTTCATATTCTCAAGGTTTTTTTTGGGTTTGAGCAATATTTTCTATCAGCAGATGATAATAATACTTATAGTGCCAGTAATTAGTCCATTAACATTTCAGTCCTTTGAAAAGCTACATCACATCCTCAGCTAAAATAAGTAAATAATGCAATAATAGCACATAAAGGAAAGGTAAGATTTGTTGGTTTAAAAAGATTGATAAATTGTAGGACTTTATAAATTACAAATAGATACGAAAAAATGATAATATCAAATGAATTCTTCTCAGTTGTTGATATGACAATGCCAATGAAATATGATATTCAAATAAATTATATTAATGCTACTGGCATTAATTCACTATTCCTTTTTTTTTTATTGTAGACAAATTATATTTTTTTACAGTAAACTATATACTACCTATTTTCTTATTAGAAAGTGTGTCTTTCAGTTCAATCATATGAGCTGATTCAAATGAAACACTTCACTATAATCCAGTAGGACCAATACTGATAGACCACCTATATCCAGCCGTGGGTTTTCTAATGTTCATTACTCTCAGTAAAACTGACTGTAGAGCATATCTGTTAAGTTTTTTCATGTACATACATACATTGGATCGTTAAGTATATGCACCAATATTTTTTATAATATAGGCAAAATGGTTACAGATCTCTAAGTCTTTGTTTTCTTTATCCGTGATAGTTTTGAGAATGGGAATAATACTTGTCACTCCTAAGGCTTTCAAAAATTAGTACCTCAAAATTCAAAAATGAAAGATTTCAATTTTTCAGCACTGTTGATCAACTTTTCCTGAGTTTTTTATGTTTCACGATTTCACAAGTACTTGCGCTACTAAATAGACTGTTTTCCCTCCTTAAGGGAACCTACTATCAACTGAGTGAGTGTTTCAATGTAAAAAATAACGGGTTAATCAGAGATTTTTGAAGTAGATCGTGAATTTTGGTAATAAAAAAATCACATATTGTCACATTTCTTGTTGTGAAAGTCCACGGTGTTAGCTACAAGTGAATAAAGTAAATTGAAGGATCTCCTGATCAGGCCCGAGTTACCATCTATGTCCTAGGTCCAAATTTCAACTACGCCCCTATCAACTATCGTCCAACAAAAATATAAAAATTGAAGTGTTATCAACAATGACAGAATAAACAGCAAAGTATAAGCATTTTAAGCTATATAGATATTTTAATCTAAATGTTTGAAAACACTGTTTCTGAACTTGGCCGCGGAAAATAACCCAACCATACCATCAATAATGTCCAAACTTCTTATTTACTTCGTGGTATTGTTTATATAAAACGATTATATAAAAAGTAAAAAGGGTATTATAATTATTTAACAAATAGCAAGTATAACAAGCAGAAGCTGGCAATTCTAAATAATTGAACTAAGCTAACAAACTGAGCCTTAATCAATACTTAAGGTAGATGAAACAGAGCCAAATAATATACATTCGTAATGTAACACCAGATACCGCAATTTCGACCTGCATTAGATCTCATCAGTGGTGCTAGGGTGAGTCATGAATACATTGTTCCATTCAATATAAGTATGCGAGAACTGAGTATAAGTAAGTATGCACATCACTCATCATCTACGGAATTGACAGAAAACTCAGAACTTGCTATCGAATATAAATATCGCTTAATGAGAAATCAATTTCAGTGTAACATTACAGCTTTCAAAACAACCATAGCCCATTTTTCATTCGGAGGTTCATCTTTGATAAGCAAGGTTTGAGTTTTCTGTCGACCCCATAGATGGCGTCTTATGAGATGTCCATGCTCACTCATATTCAGAATTATTTTTCAAGTTTTCTGTTGATCCCTCAGATGGTGTGTGCCAGCCACATGGGTAAGGGAGCCAGGTTCCATACTGACTTAAACGAAGATGATCAAAAAGATGGTGTGTCTTTGACTTACTATCATTGATGACAATTGAAAACATAATTATTAATGTGTCACTTGTCGTGTTCTAAGCTAAACTAAGCTGTTTGAGTGTTGTGTTTTGGTGTTTTCTATTGAATTATGGCCATGACCTGATGGTAGCCTTGGATGACGAAACTTGTGTGGAGAAAAATATTTTCACATTGATGTATGGGCAAAATATTTTCTGGAGAAACTGATACATCAATATAAATCAATGATGTCTAGGTGATATTTCGATTACCTGTGAATGCATTTCCAAATCCTCCTGGATGGAAATTATTTTTCGAAAAATATCCCGGTTCAGAATGGCTCACAGGGAAATGATGTCGTGGAGGTACAGGCTGGTTGTATTCTGTGCATGGGTAGGGTGGAGGGGAATATGAAGGATAATGATTGTCTGGATTTTGATAATATCCACTTGCTTGATGGTGAGGATCGTATTCAGGTTTGAAACCGTAACCTGAAAATAATACAGAAAAGTGTCATGTGAAACATGTCACCATCTTTTGGAGAGTAGCGTACTTCAGGTAAATTATTCATTTCTGTCAATTACAAATTTTACCTTTTCTATATGGAACCTATTAACTATTATCTGTTTTGTTTCGTTTATAATTAATCATATAGTTATTTGTTTGATTGTTGTACCTCATAAAGTGCAGTAATATACAACGCCTACAATAATGATATATGTAAATTTTTATGTATTGCATGGATTTGGAAGTTATTTTTTGTTTAATTACAATACAATTTATGTACACTCAGTTTAAGTACCTAATCAAAAATCAGTCTCTTTTATCCAGTGAAACACTATTGCAAAATAAAAAATAATTACCTGCCATTGAAGTCTACACCTTTAGTCACTACACCACATAGGTACCTACCTAGTATATGATGACAGTACATCATGTGATAAGTAGTGTTATCTTATCACGAAATGAATCATTTAATGTTATGGTAAACAGTGTATTACTTCAAATAATCCAATCTGTGAAAATGTCCCTTTGTACAATTTTTATTTCATGAATCCACCTGACTGAATTTTTTTTTTGTATAATGTTCTAACAGACGATTCTGATTATTCAAATGTCATTATTTATAGGGTTATTCAAATTCGAGTTTGTGTTTAGAGATCTCGTAAACAGTAAGAGGTAGAAGTAGGTTCAATCGTTGTGAAATTACCTACTCTTGAATCTTCAGATCTGGAGCTCTAAGGGAAAAACAGAAAATTTCGAAATTTAGTGTCCTGCTTTATCTTCTTTACTTTCAGAAATATCGGAAGTCTGTTGGTAGACTATCACAATATAATCATGGAAATTTTATACAGGGTTATCATTCGACTTGAGTCACCCTCAACTTTGAAACTTCAAATACGGACCTGTATTTTTTGTAGCAATTATTCGATCAGAAATGTTCATATACTATCGTAAGACCGCATTTCTGGACGCAACCGTTCTTGAAGGACATGACTAATTATTAGAAAGCAATAACAAACAACTTGCAATCAGAAATGTTCATATACTATCGTTAGACCACATTTCTGGACCCAACTGTTATTGAAGGACGAGTCGTAGCATAAGAGAGCATGGAGAAAATCTCCCACTAAGACGTCCCCACGGCTGTGGGGAAGTATTAGTGGGACGTCCCACAGCCGTGGGGACGTCTTATTGGGAGAAATACGAAAACTTACCAATGAGGAAGCATGGTTTAATCTTCCAGGTGACTGTAATCCAGACGATCTTCCATCCAGACGATGTTCTCCAAAACTTTTAAGTGAAATTAAAATTTGTGCAACATGTAAAATTATGAATCACTTATGATTTTCATTGAAGTTAGATATAATATATCACAGTATTATATTTGTAGACACAAACTTACTCTTCAAAAGTAGATATTTTTTGAAGTCACTTCATACGAGGTCCAAAATAATATATTCATTACTTGTGACCAGAATTGAATTACCACTATTTGGATTTTGTAGAAAAACACATTCGATATGGTGCTACTTTAAAGAAAATGAATTTGAAATAACAAGTTTTCAGAACTAACAAGTTGTTTGCATTTTACAAGATATTATTCCACTTTTGGATTTTTTGAAATTGATGCGTTTCACGTGACTAATTTTTTTTGGTTGTTTTTCATTTCAACGAAAGTTTTTGTAAAACCCAAAGCTGGTTCATGGCCTATAAATGGAGTTGATGATTCTTATCCGGCACTCTCGTCAGCTCGTTCGTTGCATGCGATGCTTGAGGGTGCTTACACTCAGTATATAGTCAATCTGTTCCTCATTTCTTAACGACATTCCCGTCTCGATGTCACTATTTTTGTGTTTTTCAGTGCTCCAAATGCTATCTGTGAAAATATTGACCCGCTCGTTCCACTGGGGCCTCATATTAATGTTCCTTGCACATTGAAAGATTGCATACACTTCAGCCTGATATGTACTCACCGAGTGTATAACTGAAATGAAGATTTGTCTCCGTACAGAAAATTGTAGCTCCAGTACTATGTTCGGTTTTCAACCCATATTGTATACCAGGTGTTACTGCCGACCATGTTCAACTGAGGCGAGGCAGAAATTGATGCCAAAGTCAAATTTCGATAAATACTAATAATGAGGAAAATCCGACATGACTCAACCATTTTTGTAAATCTCAAATATTCATACCCAAAATTTTTAGTGAAATATATTTTAATGGGACTCATTTTGCCTTGGTGTGATTTGGTTACACCCTTCAAATATCCATATTCCCAAATCGGTCTAAAGGTGACTGAAGTTCAGGTCCAGTGAATTCCTGGTACTGGACAAATATTTATTAATGTACGAAACTGAAAAGAAATAGATATATTTGAGATTCTCCATTGGACCATTGACGATTATTTTTCGACTACCTAATAACTAGCAGTGAAAACATATTATAAAATAGTGTTCAAACAAAAAGGGAATCCTGTATGATAGGAACTATTTTAAAAATATTACAATTTAAAATGTCTACTGAAAATCATTAAAAAACAGTGTAAAGCAAAAACATATTTAATGTCTGAATCTATACATTATATTATGGTAATTATTTAAGATCTCAGTACCAGAGTTTCATACTGTTGATGAGCATGTTCTCCTCCATTGAATGGAATGTAGCAGCATCCATGACTTGGGTGAACCTGTAAAAAATATTTGGGGTTAGGTTTCCATAAATTATATAACACAATGAGTTGGGAGCTCTCGTTTTCTAAGAAGAATCTGCAAGGTACCTACTAATTAGTTCTATCACGAAAAGAAATATGGTTATTCTGAAATAAGTCATTCATTTAATTGAGTTTGTAGTAGTGTAGTAGTAATTGTCAAAATAATAATGACCAAATCAGCATAGTCACTTAACAGTTTAGTTCAGGAGGCAGCAGCGAGTCAATGTGAACTCGATTCCTATCCGACTGAAGCCCAGTCAGCATTTGGTGCTTGCATAGACTTTGCCTATTTACCTAGATCAGACTTTTTTTCTCTAGTAGGTACTTGGAAACCGCATCTGAATTGTCCATTTCTCCCAAGTTTCCGAAAAACACTGCAGCCTCATGGGCTTGTTGCGTTTTTCTTCCATCTTTTTCATGACACCCATTCTAACAATCTTGTTCATTGTACTATATTGTACACGTTCCTTCCTGGATGTATGTCACATTCTTCTGGACATAATTTGGGCTGTCCTTGAATTATGTGTTGAACTGCCTGCAGTTAAGGTCTCCGTTGTACAGTTGTATTTTGTTAAGGTGTCCTCTTAATGAACAGTGTCCAGTGGGTAGTCCTGTAATTGTTGAATATCCCTTCATAAAGATTTTTCCTTGTAAGAATGTTTCCGGTTACGTTTTTCCATTACTTTTTAAATTCATATATAGACACACTTTCTAATCTGATTCCATACGAAAGCCTTTGTAAAACCCAAAGCTGGTTCATGGCCTATGAATGGGGTTGATGATTCTTGTCTGGTACTCTCGTCAGCTCGTTCGTTGCATGCGATGCTTGAGGGTCCTTACACTCAGTATATAGTCAATCATTTCCTGTCCGCCAGTTTTCTCATTTCCTAACGACATTCCCGTCTCGATGTCATTATTTTTGTATTTTTCAGTGCCCCAAATGCTGTCTGTGAAAATATTGACCCGCTCATTCCACTGGGGCCTCATATTAATGTTCCTTGCACATTGGAAGATTGCATACACTTCAGCCTGATGTGTACTGACCGAGTGTATAACTGAAATGAAGATTTGTCCCAGCACAGAAAATTGTAGCTCTCGTCCTATGTTCGGTTTTCAACCCATATGTATACCAGATGTTTCTGCCGATCATGTTCTGAGAAGGATCGTTCTGGGGAGGAGTGTTCATTCCCTCCTCTTCGCGCTTTAATACTTCAACCACGAAGTTTGTACCGAATATGTATTTTGGTGTCATATGGGTAAATAACATGTTTATTGTTTTTCCTGATCCAATGTAACTCGGTGAGTTTTTCAGTTTGCATTGGCCCATCTTTGTGTCCCCCATTATAGCAAGATGTAAAGGAGGAAAACTCAAGAGTGTCTCTAATGCAGCTATTGGAGTGGTTTCCATTGCTCCGATTATTCTAAAACTTACACATTTTGCAACCTGTTTAGTTTGTTAATAGAGTTCGTTTGTTAAATCTTTGGTCACCAGACTATAGTAGCATATTTGCTTATATGGGTTTAACCACCATGTTGTAGGTGCGTTTCCCCCCGACAGATCTATCTCTTCACTTCGAAGATTTAGAGGTTCTTAAAATTCCATGAATAAAATAAGACATTCGCCTTTATTTGGCGTCTTGAATAGATCTCGGGATTGCTTGTAGGAAGACTGCTTTTGTTCTAACGAATAATGCGGATTCAACTTTGAATCACTCTATGATTTTAAAAATTAAAGCTTAGACGTAATTTGTTGATGTTAGTACATATCAAAGAGGTCAAAGAATTAATGAAGAAATATTTCTGTCGTTGGTATAAGTGATGCCTATTGGATACTGGAAACAGAAGGACAAATATAAACCTTTTGTCAGCATTTCTGTTTAAAATCTGTTTTTCCGTTAACCAGCTGTCACACCCCTACGAACGGCAACCCTCAGAAGTCGAAACTGTATTAGTAAATAATACTGTATTAGGTAATCTGTATTGTATTAAATAATTTGTGGAAATACATTCAATCTTAAGCAAACATTAGATTGATGTGATCGAAATGATCTTACTTTACTAGCTAAAAGAGGTGGAGTTGGTACAAATTTTTTTTACAATAGATGAAACAATTTGAAAATTCAAAATCTCAGAGATGACCAAAATTAATCAAATAAAGTAACAGAAAAGAAACGGTAAATATAAACGAAACAAATTGGAAGGGATCAAGTAAAACTCCTCAGCTTCGCTCTCACTGAAAAATATATCTAAACCAACCAGACCAGGGGTTTCAATCTGAAATAGTTGACATACACCAGTGCTGAATTGTGTAAACAAATAACTGTTCATCGGTGGTTCATTATAATCCCTCTTCATAATATACTCACTTTTCCAACGGTATGGGAACCTTCGTGATATGCCCTGCCAATATAAAGTGGTTCACCATCAGAAGTTTTACCACCTTCTACAGCGCCTTCTGGGATATCACCACCACTAGTTGGAATCCATTCGAAACGTTGTTCACACAATACCTAAAAAAGTTAAGAGTAATCAAACTGTATCCCTGTAGATAATGATAAATAATTCCTGGTGTATCCTGCTATTCTTGCAAGTGTTATTTATTAGTTGAAAGTGATTAATTATAGCTTTGAATTAAGTATTTGATAGACATAAACACCTCATTGTGAGATTACCACCAGAAGAGGTTTTGAACTAGCATATAATGATAAATAAAGTGTGTTACCAATCAAAGAACCACGAGATGGTTTCAAAATCATAGGTTTGCTACACACTATAGTATCTGCCTGAATGTTTTATATCGGTGTTTACTCTGCAGAAGTAGTTTTCAGTTTTTTTTATATTATATTTTAACGACCGATATGTCGGCCAGCGAACATACACATGACATCACCGCAAAAGGAATGCAGTCGGCAACCGCCGATTAAATTCCAGTTGAGTACCGAAACGACTATAGAATTTTAGAACGATCGTTACCGATATATTAAGTCGGCTTCTCAGAAAGTGAATCGAGCGGTTAAACAAGAAATTCAAATAGTGGAAATAAATTAAGCGTTAGTTGCTAAGTGTTGTAAATAAATTAGTTCGTGATAGTGAAATATTGTCGAAAATAAATTTATTTAGGACAGTAAATTCTTCAATTTGTTACAATTGGTGTCAGAAGTGGGATTTGTAAAATAAATCTGTGAGCGCTTGGTGGACAATCTTTGTGTATTGCGGTGAAATTGACTATAAGACTTATTTATTTGCGCAGAGAGACTGGTGATTCGTTGTGTTTCGCGAAGTGGACAGTACAGGACTACGGAAAAATAAACTGATAGAGCTTTCTTGTGAAAAAATAGACTTGTGGAAGTAAATAAATGTTTAGGATTCAATTAAAATAAGTGGACGTATACAGTTTTGTGGAAAATGACAATAAGAGACAAAATGTGTTCGAGGAAAGTGCGCCTAACGGACTTGAAAGTCGCCGAATTGAAGCAAGAATTGGAGGAGAGGGAGCTATATTGTTCTGGAAAGAAATCAGTACTCCTGAAGAGACTATGGGATAACTTGATTGAATCAGGAGAAGATCCCGAAACATATTTATTCGAAGTTTCTGGGGGTGATATGACTTCAATAATGAGCAAACTCGATGAAATTCAACAAAATTCGAATAGCTTGAAGGAAAAGCTTCTAGAAAATGCAGAAGGCTCAAAGAAAGAACTCTGTGGTGTGGCGAGTCTACTCGAAGAAAGGATAGGTACCATCGAGACAGAGATAGACAAAATCAGGAAGGAAATGAACACGGAAGTAGAGGAAATCAAAAGCGGAGTTCAGACAGAAATCTGCAAGGTGAAGGAAACAATTAGCAATTTGCAAAACCAAATCGTTAATTCTGCCCACACCACAGAAACTGTTATCGAAAACTCAATTTCGGAACTGAAAGATGTTAAAGTCAGTTCTGAACCAGGAAAGCTCTCCATGAAGCCGCCCCAGTTCGACGGAAAAACTTGTTGGGCAAATTACCGCCGACAATTCGAAGCTGCGGCCAGAGCGAATGGATGGAATGCAGGAGAAAAGGCGGTAGCATTAACACTGGCGTTGCATGGAGAAGCAACGAATATTTTGTAAACCCTCACGGGTTTACAAAATATTCGTTGGGAAGACTATGACCAACCTATAAAGCATCTTGAGCTACGGTATATGCAGGCCCACCTAGATCACGTTTACCATTCACAGCTGAAGAACCGCTACCAGAAATCAGGAAAATCTCTACAGGAATTTGAAGCCGACATTACTCGATTGGTTCGTCTGGCATATCCTGCTACACCGGAAAATGTAATGGAGCGGTTAGCAATTCAGACATTCTTGGACAGACTTCGCGACCAAAAAACGAGGCAGGCCAGTGACACTAGCTCGTCCTAAACATCTCGTGGATGCACTGGCAAGAGCTCTGGAGTGTGATGCTGTAAAACAATCCTACACGAGCCAGAGCAAAGTTCTAACTATCGAGGAAGATGAACAGGTGCTTGCTGATATTGAGGCCACCATTAGAAAGGTGATAAAAGAAGTGTTGTCTGAGAGAAAACAAATGAGATGCTGGAACTGTGGGAAAATTGGGCATGTGCGTAGCGAATGTCCAAGCATTCAAAGAATCAACACCAAATCAGGAAAACTAGAGAGGTTCGATGAGAAGGAGCAATCGTCAGCCTGTATCCAGCAAGCCCTCTGTAAAAAACGCAGATGACCTGTCACGGAGACCATGCCCCGATGACTGCTCACATTGTCGATGAGCAGAAGAGAAGGAAGCAGCTATTTGTAGAACTAAAGCTATAGGCGCTAGCGGTTAAGTTCTACAGGGCCCAATAGAACTCCCTTTCCTTGGAAAACGGGGTTCTGAAGCGGGTGTTGGAGTCTGAAGACGGTAGAGAAGAAAGGCGCAAGATAGTGGTACCCAGGAGCAGACGACGGGAGGTGCTCAAAGAAATCCATGATGGAGTCACTGGAGGACATCTGGGAGTAACAAAGACCCACCACAAAGTAAGACAACGGTTTTACTGGGTTAATTGTCAAGCCAACGTCAAGGACTGGTGCAGAAAATGTACTGTATGTGCTGCCAGTAACGAACCTCGGATACGATCGAAAGCTCCAATGTGCCAGTATAACGTGGGTTTTGAGAGAATCGCCATCGACATCGCCGGCCCGTTCCCAGAGTCTGACCGTGGGAACAAATACATCCTGGTAGTCATATACTACTTCAGTAAGTGGGCAGAAGCCTATGCCCTACATAGGCTTGGTCCTGCATTCGGACCAGGGCAGAAATTTCGAGTCCAACCTGTTCCAAAATATATGTTGGACATTCGAAAGACCAGAAACACAGCCTTACATCCTCAGTCCGATGGAATGGAGGAACAGATGAATAAGTCCATAAACCGCCACTTGTCCAAGGTAGTCTCTGACCGTCAAAGATACTGGGACCAGTACCTACCTGTTGGCCTATCGTTCGGCAGTGCATGAGTCAACAGGCCAAGCCCCTGCCAGTATTATAATGGGCCGAGAGTTGCGGCTTCCTTCCGATCTGAAATTTGGGACGCCACCAGCACAAGACACTGCGGGGAAAGACTATGTCAGCAAACTTCGACAGAGAGTGGACGACAACCATGAACGAGTCTGCTTGAACATCCGGAGTGCGATAGGATGAAGAAGGCCTATGATATTGAGGCGAATGCTGGAGGATTCGAAACCGGTGATTAATTTGTCGATACAACCCTAAGCGACGCCGTGGTTTAGCACCGAAGTTGCGAAACTCGTGGGAAGATCCGTACAAAATCATGAAGAAGATAAATGACCTCGTCTACCGAATCCATAAGCCACCTCGAGGAAAGCCTAGGGTCGTCCATTTTAATAGATTGGCTCCACCAGAGGATGAAATGACGTTCTCGAAGTTAATGTTTTTATACTCGAACGGACAAAAGGTCATACATGGGGTAACTCAAAAAGAGCCACGAGACCTTTTCAAGGTTGCAGTTGGTTACGCACTAGCTCACTGCGTGGCAGAGGATCTCTGAATGTCCAGGGGTATCGCTGTAGAATTCAACAAGAAATTCGGTCAGCTCCAAACATTACGAGAACAAAATCCTGAAGTCGGAGGAGTGTTACCAGTTGAAGAAGGGTCAAAGAAACATTTACTACTCAGTGACCAAAAAGCATTTTCGAGACAAACCGTCCTATGAAGATGTCTGGAGCAGTCTTACCAGACTGAGGTCACGATGCTCGACCAGAGTCTCGTGGATTTGGCAATCCCGAAAATAGAATGTTGGAAACGATCTTCAGATCCAGCGGCATCAAGATTTTGGTGTGCTATAATCATCTTCCACGACCGAGCATGAAGACTGTGGAGTGTTACTTCCATCGAACTTCACAGTGCAGATATGGGGAGTCCTGCAGGTATCGACACACGCCAAGGATGACATTTCGGGGCGAAACGTCTTCGAAAAGGGTAACAATGTAACGAATCTGAAGCCGCCCCTGACCGATATGTCGGCCAGCGAACAAACACATGATTTCACTGCAAAATGAATGCAGTCGGCGATCGCCGATTAAACTTTAGTTAAGTACCGAAACGACTATAGAATTCATGAAAAAAATATGTCGAGGATTTAGAATTGAAGTGAACTGGTCCTATCTCACAAAATGATTAAGGCTTTCGCGGCCGAGGTTTTTGGAATTTCTTCCTATTCTTCTTCCATTTTAGAATTGGAAAACTCTTGGGAAAACCAAACATTAAAACGGTTTTCAAACCCACCAAGAAGATATAACAAAGTTTCAGGTTGGCTAAAGACAAAAGAGACCCACATCAGCAGCCGAGGTATATCGCATACCGTGCACTTGTGGGAAGTTATATATCGGCACCGTTAACAGATCCATGGGAACCAGGCTGAAGGATCATGAAAGAAACTGCAGACTAGGCCACACGGACAAGTCGGCTGTGGCGGAACACGCACTCAGTAAAGGAAACCACATGGTTCTGTTTGAAAACACAAAACTCATTGCCCCCACACAGGGATATCATAGCCGACTGGTAGGTGTGGGAGGCAATAGAGATCCACAAACAAACGAATAATTTCAACAGAAAAGAAAAAACTGTGAATCTCAACCGAATATTGAACCCCGTTCTAAGAAGTTGAAAAATAGAAAATAGCATGACGGCTGGTAGAAAAATGTCAACGAATCTTATTGACAATTCACCCAATCCAGGTACAATCGCACCAGAATGGCTGAGTCAACATAAACACGCTTTATGCGATTTACCTTATCCAGGTACAGTATTAGCACACCTAACTACCTGAGTCAACATAAATACGCCTTACGTGGTCGTAATATCCAGGATGTATAATGTATACATGCTGGATATAATGTATACTGTATACAGGATGTATAGTGCTCTGAGGAAGCCACTCGCGCCAGCGAAACATTAGCGAAAACAGTAAAAATTTTCCTAATGTTTCAATTTCAGCTTTTTCACGTTTATGTAGTGTCCAGTAATCTTTCGCTCCGTTATCAAAAATATTTCATTAAAAATATCGAAAACTCAAAATATTTTCACCGAAAATACATTATGAATAATTGTTACATGGATCTTATACATTCAAGAAACACACAGTAACTCTGTAACTACTGCTTCTACTCATCTCAGAGGCTTAGCTAGGAGACTGTAATTTCAAGATGTCAAATTTTCTGAAGACTTGTACTGAAACTTTTTTGCAATTGAATTGCTTTTGTGTGCACTGAAATTGTCCTCTTCCTCAAAATGTTCATGAATTTCTATATAATTATTCAGAATCTTTGAAGAAAAGATATCCAGTGATAATAATTTACTATAATGAAGCTAACTTGGTAGCCGAAACTTATTTCTCAAGAATTGTTTTTTCCAGTTATAGTTCTAGGATGATACATGTCATGTTTTCAAGGTTCTTTAATAAATGGAAAACTCATTTTACGAAAACACGGATTTTATTGAATTGCCGCAGTGAATCAGTAAATAGATCCTCACCATTGGGATCTCGGAAACTATGAGAGATACAAAGATGGTTAAATTGGGACAAAGTTGTGCATTTACCTGACTAACAATATGCCGTTGAGAAAGTTCTGAAATTCCGACTACCGATATCCGGAGGTATCCGAAAAAAACAAATGTCGAAAAATGGTTTTTATTTTTTTCTGACTTTATTTTTCGAAATAGCTGAAAAAGCAAATGCGCCACTGGAATCAATGAAGTCGCCCCGGAGCACCAATTATAGAACTTTCTCAACGGCATATTGAGTCATGCGCAACTTTGCCCCAATTCAACCATCTTCGTATCTCTTATAGTTTTCGAGATCCCAATGGTGAGGATCGAATTTGAAACACCCTGTATAGAGGGAGGACCCAGGAGTCTTGTTTAATGGTATTTGATTTTTGCGTTTTTCGTCAAACGTATTGTTGGTATTTCAAAGCTCTATATTTTCTGAAAGAGCGAAAAGATCTTCAAAAATTAAGGCGTACAGGAAATAAAAATAATTTTAGCGCTGTAGCATTTGATTACCATTCCCATTGAAAAAATGGCAAGTTTTTGGATTTCGCCGAAAAGTTTTTTTTCCACCTTTTGCTTCCTTGTGGAAGGTTTTTGATGATCCAACCGTTATACGCCAATGAATTCAATATTCTCATTATTATTTACCTGGAATCGTTCAACGCCGACTTCTGCTCCATTGTAGCAAACATAGGCTATTCGCTTTCCCGGAATCACTTTTGCTGGGAGCCAATCTCCTTCGTGAAAAGCTCTACCGACGAAAATTTCTTCACCGTCCACATCAACGCCTCCTGGAAGAGCGGTTGAGGGAATGCGGCCATAGGCTACTGTGTCTACCCAATGATAAGCTGAAAAAGTAATTCAATAATCAATACCTTTGCGAAGTTACCTATAAAGGCCGGGATACACCTGTCATACACACTTCAGATCCGACTCCCATCATACAATCGGACGAGTGTCTGAAAGGGAGATGGTACTTTCCTAGTTCACATTGTTCCGATACGTGACCAACCCCGCTCCCACCCGACTCCGATCCTGTATTCCATTATGATCCAATGGTGCAGCCTATTTATTCTCCAGCTGCGGGACGCATATCGCTTAGAGTTTGTATGTTATTTGAGTTTTTGTTTTCTTCAAATTAAATTTAAAAACATGTCATTAAAAACGGAGGAGCTTATTGAACAAGTCGGAAAATATCCAGTTCTGTATGACCAGACTGAAGAGCTGTACCGCTGTTTTCAATGAGAACTCTCCGAATTTCTTCATCATCTTCTTCCAGAGTGCCTTAATGGCTAAATCGCAGTTGCTAAAATACTTGAACATTTTGCTTAGAGGACCTTCCTAGAAATTGTTTGAATCGACACTGGCGAGAGTGTATCAAGCCGGAGCGGTAAATCGGAAAGAAGTCGGAAGCATGTATGACAAGTGTGATTACCCACTGGCGATCCTACACCGATCCACTTTTGGGGCTAAATCAAACCGGAGTCGGATCGTAGAGGTGTATGAAGAAGTGTGTCCTGGCCTTAATACTTAAATTATTTATTAAATTTATCTAAATGCACTCACCATATAAACTAATCGGCTTCGTCAAGAAGCTGGGTTTATTTGGTCGAGTTTGAATAGGTGTGAGCCACAATAAACCCTTGCGGGTTTCGGTGGAGGGTCGAATAGACCCACTCACTTTTGACCTAATCTAACCTAACCTATCAAAGTTTTCAACCACAAGATCTTTTTCATTATTAGACAAAATAATAATCAGTGTATGTTGTTAATAATAACTCGTATTGATTAATAAAAATTATTTCTTAAGAAGATGCATTAGCACATGAAAATCCTTAAAGTGCCCTGGATTCAAATCGCTGTATAAAAACCTTATGCATAGAAACCCTGGTGTTTTACCGATTCGCTATTTTTGTCAAAATCTCTCGACGCAAGAAATGATATTTTGATAGATGTAACAAGATTTGTTTCCAAATAATAATAATAATGATTGTCGGACCCAATGATCACTTACCCCACGGTGTGGGGAATGGTCGTTGGTTGATAATGCTGGCACGCCCTCCCGAATGTATCGGGGCTTCGGGGGATAGGATCTGACCAGCGCATACTTCGGAATTCAACAGTAAAACCTGTTTGGACCATATCTTTTTTAAATCAAATAGTCCTGATTTACTAAAACAACAATTACAGATCAATATACTACTTTATACTCCAAGTCGTTTTTACTACAAAGGAAAAAGTTGAAGTAAATAGCAAATTCATGAAATGTTTGAATGATAATAAAATACACAATGTATTCAACAATATGTGCTGGTGTGACATCCTGTATATAGTTTGTTAGTGTAGCACTCTGTACATAGTACTTTTTTATATATCATCTACGTATCGATGGGTAGTATGTCTAGGTGAGCGACAGAATAAAGAACGAAGAATAAGAAATTGTTTTATTCAAGTCGAATACATCACAAGTGGCGACGAGTGATATTCTGAGTTATAAAAAGTGCAAATTAATTTTTTTACGCTCAGCAGTGAACCCCGAGTCGATAAAATGGCGGAAGCTGTACAGTATAAGAGACATATTCAGGAATTCAATCTTGCTACGTCGGATTGGTCGATTTATAAACGTCGTTTGAACAATTATTACACGGCAAAAGTGAACGGAAACGTGCCATTCTTTTAAGTTTATTGAATGAAGAAGCGTATCAGCTACTATTCAATATGTTCAATCCAGAAGAACCTGAAGATATTGTGAAATCCATCGACAATTATTTTCAACCAGTAGTGTCTGTTTTTGCGTGTCGCGAAAAATTTTTCGAAGCACGAAAATCAGTAATGAATCTCTAAAAGAGTGGGCTGCAAGACTGCGATCATTAGTGGCAAATTGCAAATTTTCTGGAATTGAGGAAATTAATAAGGTAAATAGTTTTATCATCGGCTATGACTCTGGTCTAGTGAAGGATAGGCTATATGATGAAAAAGAAACAGTGACTTTTGCTGAAATCATAGAAGTTGCGTCTTCCACAAGTACGGTTGCACAAAATTGCAACAGGACTGTCAAGCTGGAACCGGAAATCTACTACACGATTAACAAGCCCAGATCTTCTGAGCAGAAGAGACCTCTTTCATTTCGAGCGTCATCGTCAAGGAAAAACAACCGTGGAGACAACATTCCAGCAAGTACGAGCGGCGGCAATTCGGGATCAGGAGGTGGCAGCTCAAAGAGGGGAATTCGTACGGATCCACCATCACAGTCCAAATGCTCAGTTTGCGGCCGTAAGAACCATAAAACAGATAAGTGTTCTTATAGAAATTGTAACTGTCATATATGTGATAAAAAATGGCATCTTGCTCCTATGTGACCAAATAAAAGAAATGCAAATTCATTTAAAGAACTGAATGAAAAAAGAAATAACTTTTTAGAATCGGAAGACTATTCTCTTTACAGTTTGGAAGCAAAAACCAACCCGGTTTTTATAAAACTTTTTATAGATAATAAATCGTTCACTTTTATTTTGGATACTGGAGCAAGTTATACGGTAATTTCTCGCACATTTTATGAACAAAATTTTGAGGAAAAAAATTTGAAAACAACTGACAA